AATTCATTAATGATTTATCATTTCCCAGCGAAAAAGAAGAAGATCCAAAATAAGAGTGAATAATTAGTTAAAATTTAACACGCCTAAGTGATACTAAACAGAATCTAGGGCTAATATGGGGCACTTAACCACGGTTGCCCATTGTTTTCTCCCTAGTAAGATTCTGATTTAAGATTTGAGATTATGGCATAAAGCGAATCTTTTCTCTAGAATTGTGAATACATGTCTTAGAATACAGTGCAATCAATAAAAAAAGTTGAGCAATGATCAATACACTTCTAAAATAGGGTAGATAGAATTTTCAATGTCCTCAGTTCCAGCATTTCTTGCCTTTGTGTCTATTAAATGTTATCATGTGGAGTGTAGTATGCGTAGGGCACTCTCTCCTTCTGCTGTGTACAGGGTTGCTATAAGTCAAATCTACTTTATGGCACCTAATAGCAGCAACATATAAACTTAGGATTTAGCCTAAAGTTATATATTTTTAGCTTAAATTCCACAATTAAATATTCCATGATTCAGCAAAAAGTCCCACAGTGACCAGATGTTCTCCTTTAAGTACATTTTACTTACACTTTCCTATACCTTAAACTGCATATAGTCTAATTCACTGTCATTTCATGATTCCAGTATAAAGGAATTTCCACCTAAACTTAAACAGCCAGTTACTTTCTTCTTTAGGAATCATTACAGATCAGAGCATAGTTTAAAAAGAGGATTTATTAAAGAGAATTTTCTTTAGCTAGAACAGCAAGGATGTTGGCCCATGAACCAAACTTATCAATGGTTTGAATTCTATGAAATATATAATCTGCTAAACTAACATTGATTATGACTTTAAAATATTTTGTAATTTACAAACCTTATAATATTTCCTGTGACTTTGACATTATTTCATTGATTTCTGTTAACCATCCTGTGAAGTCTATATTTTAATTTTACCAATGAAGATATTGAATCTTGGAGAGGCTAAGTAACATCTGACGTAACAGTTAGTTTCAGAGATGAGACTCAAACTTAGGCCAATGATGCCAGACTTCCTAACAATAATCTATCCTCCTCAGCTAAGTAATTTTCAACTTAAGGGCAAAGACAATGCATTGGCTATCTTAAAAAAAGAACTTTTATTGACATGGCCTTCACATGTCATGATTTAATCATTCAATCGTATTAACAAGAACTGTGCTACCATCACTACAATCAATTTCAGAACCTTTCTTCTCATCCTCATTGTTACTCATCCCCATTCCACCCCCACCCCCTCCATCCTCCCCTGCCCTGCCTCTACGCAATTATAAGTCCAGTTACTGTCTCTCTAGATCTGCCTACCTGTCTTTCATAGACAATCTTATGAAAATCACACAAACAAAACCCAACAACAATGACTGGACAAAACAGATAAAGCTCAATCTAAGAAAACAGAAAATACTAAAACTGCAACAACTTTGAAATGGGTCAAAAGGGAAATCCAATGATAGGGTATTACATTTTAACCTAACTACATCGCCATAATCTACTTTCATATTCAAATTATGAACATTTTGAACATTTCATATTCAAACCAAGAAATGATGATGAACACAATAGATATCTAATTTTAAAAATAAGAATGATGTGTTCTCATTATAGATTTGGTTTTGAGGAGGTACCACGTACATGGAGCCCTGGTGGTGTAGCAGTTATGGGTTGGGCTATGATCTGCAAGCGTAGCAGTTCAAAACCACCAGTGACTTCACGGAGAAAGATGGGATTGTCTATTCCCATAAAGAGTTAGAAACTCAGAAACCAACCCAATCAGTTGTATAGAGATTCAGTCACTTTCTGAACCAATTCCAATTGATGGAAAAAGTGAGTTATATGTTGAGCTGCTAATTGCCAGGTCAGCAATTCCAATCAACTTGCAGCTAGTCGGGAGGCCGAGGAAGCTGTCCCTGTAAAGATGTACAGTCGTGGAAACCTAGGGAGCAGAGCTACTTTGTCCTGTAGGGTCATTAAGAGTTAAAATCAACTCGGCGTCAATATGTTTGGCTTCTAGTTCGGACCATACTCAAATAATATGAACCATTACTCTCATCTTTTTCTTCCAGTATTTTTGTGGATTTAAAAATATTTCAACATTTGCTTAATGCAGAATTTATTTTAGGGATATAAGTTTATATTTTTGCTCAAGTAGTTTCTCAATTTTCCAAACAGCATATAGGGATTTTTTCCCTACCAAATCATAGAGACCCTCTGTACGACGGAGTGACACGCTGCCCCGCCCTGCAGCAGCTGCATCGTTATGTTGCAGCCACCTTGTCAGTGCATTTGTTGGGTCTCCATCCTTTTCCCCTGACCCTTTACTTTATCGGTCATGATGTCCTTTTCTAGAAATGGCTCTCTCCGGCCGACATGTCCAAAGTATGTTAGAGAAAGGCTAGCTATCCTTGCTTCGAAGAAGCATTCTGACTATACTTCTTCCAAGACAGATTTCTTTGTTCATCTGGAAGTTCCTAGTTCTTTTAATATTCTCATGAATACCATAATTTAAATGCGTCATGTTCCCCTAATCTTATTTATTGTCCAACTTTCACATGAATTTGAAGGGATTAAAATACTATGGCTTGGGTCAGGTGTAACTTCGTGATATCTATAATTTTTAATACTTTAAAGAGATTGTGTGTCCCACATTTGCCCAATGCAATATGTTGTTTGATTTCTTGACTGCTGCTTCTATGTGGGTTCATTGTGCCATTTCAATTTTGGCAGCTTCCAACATTCTCAAATTCATATTTCTTAGATTCCATGTTCCAATTATTAATGGATGTTTGCAACAGTTTCTTCTCATTTTAAATCCTGCCCTATCAGTAAATGTAGAGTCCAAAAGCTTTACTCTACTCCATCGAAGCCATTAAAGCTGACTCTGCTTTGAGTTGTCGGCTCTTTCTCAATTGTATTTTGAAATCCTTCTAATCTAGGGGGCCCATCTTCTGGCCTTATATCACCCAAGTCACCACACTATGACAAACTGAAAGACAAGTGGTAGAAAATTGGAGAGGGGGGGCTATATGAAGAGGAGTCAATTTGGTTAGGCTATGGGGTACAGGAATTGCCACAGATGTAGGTAAGACAAAGCTGCAAGGGCTGAAAACCCAACTCACGATCATGGAGTCAATGCTGACTCGTGGTGACCCCCTGGGTTTCTGAGATTGGAACTTTAACGGAAGTAGACAGTCCAGTCTTGAACCCTTGAAGCTGCTGGTGGTTTCAAACTGCTGACCATGCAGATCACAGCCCAACACGCAACCATTACAGCACCAGGGTCCTGCAGCAGGGGTAGGAAGGGACAATTGTTATGTTTATACTGATTGTGATAGGAAATAGAAGTCAATGAAAGTTTTTATGACAAAGGAATGTCATTTGAAATAGAAGTCATTGAAAGTTTTTATGACAAATGAATGTCATGATCAGAGCTACGACATTGCAGGAGACTAGTCCAGCCGCAGTGGGACAAATGGTTTGGAACATGAACTGAATGAAGCGGAGGGAAGGAGACCAGTGTAGACAAGCTACCCATGAAATCTTCTAGAATGTTGATATTGGGAGTAAAAAGTGGGAGGAATATGGAAGTAACATCATGAAAACCGCTTTGAAAGCCAATGAGTGAAACGAATAAGGAAGATGAGAAAGCTTATGAGCTTTCAGTTGCCAGATAGAATGAAGATGAAATGGGCAAAAACTGACAAGTCAGAGAGAAAAGGCAACAATAATTATTATGCAATGAGATGTTCACCTTTGTTTTTCAAGTCAAACCGCAAATACTCCTTTGTGAAGCCTTGGAATTAAGCATTCAAGTGTTAAGAGTTCCTGGATGGTGCAAATTGCTAACACCTTGCTTCTTATCCAAAAGGCTGAAGGTTCAGTGGCTGCTCAGAAAAAGGTATGGTAATGTACAATGAGGACACCTCTGTTAAGGTGTTCAAAGTGTTTCTTTGAGATTAGATATGTTCCTTTCAGAAGTCTTTTCCTCAGCATTTGCAGCAATCTTTGTTTCAGACGAAAAAAAGAGTGAAAACTAAAGATCAGGATGTTGTCATGGGTGTTCGGTACCATCGACTCATCCACAATTCATATGCACAACAGAGCAAAACGCTGCCTGGTCTCACACCACCCTCACAATTGCTGTCGTTTGAGCCCATGGCTGCAGCCTCTGTGTCCACAGTTAAGGACAAAAATAAAAAAGAATGCACAATTTATAGCAAAAATTATCCATAGGAAATGATGGTGAGTGTATTATGCATTATAGGGTGAGACTGTAGACATGCTTCTCATCAATAATAGCTCCTTCTTTCCTGTTGCCAGACTTTTCCGTGAGTGACGAGATGGCACATCAGGAGAACCAGGTGGTTCCTCGCGCTTGTTCCCTGTGTGGGAGACAAGAGGCAATGCCAACAGGTGCCTTTGGACAAAGGGAGTGACTGGATGGAAAAGCTCAGGAGAAAGCCTGTGAAAGTGCTTCATTCTTTCCTGGAAATAATGATACATTGGGGCATGGGAGGAGACAGATTCCTCCTCCCCTCACCACCAGCTATGCTACCCCATATCTGCTCTGAGAGAGAAATGTGAGTGAGTGGGGGCCTGGCACCAGACTCCAATTCAGGTCGAGCCATTTGTTCTTGCTGAGGTCAGATCCCTGTGTTTGTTCTCTCAGTCCTGTCCTGGGAGAGGTTGCAACAGGCAACCTCCCCCCTGGCCCCGTCCCCCCCACCCCCACCCCCCTTGTCATAGCAATGGCTAATGCTTACTTAGCCTTTGGAGATGATTTTGCTTCAGAGGAGAAAGGTTGAACTGGGCCCAAAGGAGGAGCTTCAAGCTGCATGTGGGATCTGGGAATCTGGGTGAGCAGAAGGGAGGGGCCGCCATAAGGGGAAGCACAGAGGAGAAAGACTTCCCTCCCCTTCTTGTAAAAAGGCCCCGTGATCAGCCCCAGCCACTGGCCGTCTGTCCATCCTCAGAGCTTACATAAATGGACGTGGGTGCTGAGAGCCCACAGAACTGACACTACAGGTTCGGAGCACCGGGCCCGCAGCCATCATGAGTTTGTCCGTGCAAACCTGGAGTTTAATTATCTGCCTCTACAGCCTTTTGCTGGCCTCTCCAACGTATCCGGCAGTAAGTTTACATCACATATGTGTCTTACATGGAAAGCCGACAAAAAGAAAGTATATGAACTAGTGGCGCTTCTCTGTTTTTCTCCTCTAGTTTGCAGCTACCCGAGACAACTGCTGTATCTTAGATGAAAGATTCGTAAGTAGCTTTTCGGTTTCTCTTGTGTTTAAGCTGGAGAGGGGGCAGATGAGTGCAAGGCATTCTTTTACTAGTGTCACTGGACACTTTGAAGATGAAAACACACACAAACATAGTCTAGGTTTTACCTATCTTTATTAATAAGTGTGGCTTTGATAAGGTTTTTAAATCTCTGTCTTGCGTTTTCAGGGTAGTTATTGCCCAACGACGTGTGGCATTGCAGATTTCCTGTCTACTTACCAAGCAGGCATAGATAAGGATCTGCATTCTTTGGAAGACATGTTAAACGAAGTAGAAAACAAAACGGCAGAAGCCTCAGAACTGATCACAGCAATCCAAGTCAACTATAATCCCGATGAGCCACCAAGACCAAGTGAGAGACCAAAGACTTCCCTGAGAGTGTAAATCGTGAAGTTCTGTTGCTTTTGTTGTTCTGTGTACTCAAGTATTTTCATATCTTTGATCCCATATTACAGATATAATAGAGGGTGCTACTAAGAAGTCCAAGAAAATGTTAGAAGAAATTATGAAATATGAGTCAATGATCATAACACATGAGTCAAGTATTCGGTAAGCAGTGTGTATTCATTTGCTCTCCAAGACTGATTTAGATTTTATTCAATACAGCAAGTCTCAAGTAACTACCTGCCCTCACTTCCATCCCCAATTATAATATCCAACTGGCATTTCCTGGAGCTTTCTTAGTGTGGTGGTCATGTGTTGGGCTGCTAGCCAAAAGTTTAAAGTTCAAAACCACCCACCACTCCGAGGGTGAAGGGACTGAGCTTTCTACTTCTATAAAGAGTTACAGTCTCTCAGGAGCCCACAGGGAAAACTCTACCCTGGCCTATAGGGCACTGTGAGTCCAAATCGACCAGAGGGCAGTGAATTTGAGTTTTGGAATCGGCATTTAGCCTGAGTGTCTTAACACAGTGGAGCAGGAGTGTTTAGTATCAAGTGCATTGTACTGCAGTTTAAAAATCATGGGAAACCGTGTCCTGGATGTCTTTAAAATGCCACAAACAACCATATTTATCCTACTGTTTATTTTCTTTCCATTTGTCTTGAAGTGTTCATTCAATTTAATGGGAATTTGGCTGTTGAAATAAAATTCTCTATAAAAATGCTATCAAATCCATGGTGAGGAATTAGCAAATAGTGGCATGGGGAGGATCTTGGCTCCTAGATTAAAGGACATTGAAGATGAGCAAAAAAAAAGGCATGACATCGTTAAGCAAACATTGTAAAACCGAATGTTGACCATAACATTATGAACCTGCGATTGTGTAATGTCCTACCTTCCCTCAGAGGTAAAACGTCTGTTGACAGCTTCCTAGATTCTCTGAAGATAAGGTCTTATATATAATTTTGATTTTTATCCTAATGTGTTCTCAGAGGAACCTGGGAACTTAAAAATAAATTGTGAGGGAAGTGGGTAGTGGAAGTGCTCCAAAAGTTGCTCCTCTCTTTCGTTCCGCAAGGTTTCTTATCATCAACATAGTTATCCTTATTAGAATTCCTAAGCATGATCATTGCTCAGTGTCGACGGAAGTCGACTGAGACGATTGTGCAGAATCTGTCTAGGGCGTAGTACGGGGGGGAATGATAAAGTAGTGTTTCTTTGTCTCTGAAAAAGGTACAGCCACTCACACCTTGTGGATAATTTCCTATCATTTCCGAGTATACAGACAACAACCCTGGGAGACACTATGAAAAGAGGGTGTTTGTTTTCCCGGGCCTTTTATGAGGCTATGTAAATAGAAACAGAAAAAGAAATGGAAGTCTTTGGTGTTTTATTTTTGTACGATCATGCCCGCAGGTTCTTTTCTCATTTTAGCACTAGATAACCACCCCATCCCCACCCCTGTCACCGTGTCCACCAGCATCGAGCTGATTTGGACTCATAGTGAGGCTTCCAAGGTGATGCATTTTTACAGGAGCAGACACCTCATCTTTCTCCCACGGAGAAGTTTGGTGCGTGTCACTTTTGGCTTAATAGCCAAAATACCTATCCCAGAGCACCACAGGAGGTCATGCATGGGTCTCAGTAGATCCGTGAGTGAGATGGGATGATGTTCTAGAACACTCACAATTACAGAAGAGCCTGTTCTGCTTCAGGCAGTGCACCTATTGACCAAGCTCATCACTGGTGTAGACCCCTCTTGCATAAAGTAAAATCAGAATGATCACTCTGAATGGCATTTGTTTATGGATAAGAACTTGATATTTATATCAGAGTTGAGATTGTATACCCCCATTCTGGGTCAACGCAGGTCAAAATTATCCTCCTGGCTTGATGAAAATATTTTGGTCTTGTTTTCTAAAATGCTTAGAAATTGTATTTACTTAAATCTAGTTGCATACTTTTATAATTTTCCAAAAGATGGAGCCATTAGGATATCATCAAAAAGTAATATTAAGAAAAAAGTATTTTATAAAATTACCCTTGCAAAGGGTAATTATCATTTTATCATTTTCTTCTGCTTACAGATTTTTGCAGGAAATATATACTTCAAATAGCCAAAAGATTAGTAACCTGAAACAGAAGGTAGCCCAGCTTGAAACAAAGTGTCAGGAACCTTGCAAAGATACAGTGAAAATATACGATACGACAGGGAAAGGTAAGTGAGAGGTAACTTTGGGACCATGTTCATTAAAGCAGATAGAGTAAGCAAAGAGGATTGCATGTATTGAAAGATATAAGAATACTTTGGAAGGTGGCTAGATATCAAATTGAAAGATCCTGATTTCTTAGGCTTTTGTTGGGTGACTAATAGTTTGCCATGGTGATGTGGGAAGTAGTAAAATGTTTTCTAATGAAATGACTCATTTGTCAGAAATTAGAAACTCATTTCCAAAGCCAGTGCAATCTTACTTTGAATCAAGGCACAGTGACAGTTTCTCCCCCTCCTTCAGATTGTCAAGATATTGCAAACAAAGGAGCCAAAGAAAGTGGACTTTATTTTATAAAGCCTCTGAAAGCTAAGCAGCAGTTCTTAGTCTACTGTGAAATTGATGCATCCGGAAACGGGTGGACTGTACTTCAGAAGGTATGCTTTTTCTCAGCACTTGTATTTGTAAACACCCACCTGTTTCTGCCACATACAAGGCACTTTCCTAAGTGCTTGTGATCACCAATTCGTTAACATTTCACAGCATCCCTTTGATGTAGGAACTATTACCACCCATATTTACAGGTAAGAAAGCGAGCAGGGACGAATTGCAGAAATGTGGGTGAAGGGAGACAATGGACAGTATAAGATACGCAATAACAATAACAATATATAATTGATCAAGGATTCATGAAGGTGGGAGGGTGGGAGAGGGAGGGCAAAAAGAGGAGCTTATACCAAGGGCTCAAGCAGAAAATGTTTTAGAAAGGATGGTGGCAACACATGTACAAATATGCTTGATACAACTGATGTATTGAATGTTATAAGAGCTGCAAGAGCCCCTAATAAAATGATTTTTTTTAAAGCTGAAGTGAGAGAGGTTAAGTAAGTTGGCCCAGGTCATGTGACTAATAAGGAAAACAGGATTTGAATGCAGGCAGTCTGATCCAAGTCTGTGCTATGACTACCATTTGGGCACTGGGTTTGTGATTTCACAGGAGCCCATCAGCAGAGCATCGTGTGACACAGAATGAGAAAGGGTCTCTTTCATCAGAAGAGTCAAGATCTGAGGTTTCCCAGCACAAAAGGGGAAGGTCCCCTAAAGGGTACATTTGTGCTGCTTTGAGAGAAAGGTGCTCTGCTGCCTCTGCTGGCCATGGTACCCACTGTGGATCCTGGCTCCCTCTGTTTACCTTCTTCCACTATTATAAATCTTCCTGCAGGGAGTTCTCCAGGATTAAATAAACGGTGAAAGAACTGGCTGGTGAACACAGACTGAGCTAAAGCCTGCCCAATTGACCATGAGTGCACGAGTCAGAAATACCAGGCTTGAGTCTCAAGTCCCCCAGGTGTCTTTAAAACTACCATGGGCTCTTTGAAGTGTTTCTCTTACATTCTCTTATCTAATACTTGCCGCCACCTTGAGACACACACATCACAAATGGAAGAGGAAGAAACTGAGGCAGCTTGCCCAGGGTCACTTAGTAGATGATAGTATCCTACTTCCTGCCCTTTTTTTGACAAAATAGCTATTCTGTTTTCTTTACATGCACTGATAGTTCTTTTTACCCCCCTTTTGCCTCCGTGCATTTGTGTAACTAGAGACTTGACGGCAGTGAGGATTTCAAGAAAAGATGGACTCAGTATAAAGAAGGCTTTGGACATCTGTCTCCCACTGGCACCACGGAGTTTTGGCTGGGAAATGAGAAGATTCATCTGATAAGCACACAGTCTGCAATCCCATATGCATTGAGAGTGGAATTAGAAGACTGGAGTGGCAGAACCAGGTAGGGTTTAGAAATGGCTTGCAACTTTTCATTGTATAATGGGATGTTCATTTTCCATTCCGCCTGCAGTGTGCATTCCCTGGCCACGCAGAGCCCAATAGTAAAGACAGCCTGGGAAATATGAAGAGCATGTCCAGCTATCTTTCCCAAGGAGTCAGTTGGTTCTTGGGAAGTCCCAAAGAGGCAGGGTCTATCCAGCATGGATCTGAGTATTTGATATCATCTATTAATTCAGAGTTCACTCATTTAGAATACTAGCTATTATTTACTGAGTTTTTGGTATGTACAAGAAATTAAACAGATTTTAATTTAATCGATACCAAATACCTATTTTATGAGTTAGGTCTTATTAATAACCGCATTTTACAGATTTATTTGCCCAATGTCGCATTGCTGATAAATGATAGGTGTAGGATTTGAACCAAGGGAGTCTGACTCCAGAGATACACTTCTCAACCCTATTCAGACTAAAAAACTCACCCCGACTTTTCATATTGCCCTATCTTAATGTCAAATCATGCAGTCAAATCTAAGGGGAATCTTAAAATTAAGGTAAGTAGCTCCTTTGATGGGACAGAGATCTCTGGGAATTTTGTGCATTGCACGCTTAATTACAAAGAAGAAAACTATCCAGTCCTCTTGTCCTGTCGACAGTCTAATAAAATAATTCTTTCTACAACAGGATATCTTGTTTTGTAAGATCAGAAACTACCATAGGCATCAGACTTTTTTTGTGATAATGTCTATCATGTCTCAAATGTTGGAGATTACAAAAGAAGCTAAAGTGTTTCTGGAAATCTCTGCACAAGTGCCAAGACCCATATTGTTCTCACTTTTAGAGAATTCTGTCCCTCCTTTAGCAACGTTTTCTTGGGGGAAATTTCACTTGAATTCTCACAGCTCATGGTTTGCCTCTTGGCAGGGACCTCCTCTTTTTCTGTTATGCTCCCTGAGGTCCTTTTCTGATGCCCCTGCACACGGGCGTGAAAAAGAAGAATCCCTTTAGGACTACACCCTTCGGATGGTTCAGGAGGGTTGACTGTGAAATGGTGCTATAGCATTAGTGCAGTAGTGTGCTTCTATAGTACTTCTAGTCGGGCACATTTGTTAATGGTCACTCCCTGTCCTGGTCTTTCAAAACTGTGAGTATAATGCCAGATATTTAAATAACATCTAGAACCAGTAGAACTTATCAGATTCCAAGCACTTTGATTTAATATTGAGGTCTTTTGAGTCCCTATGAGTCAGAATCGACTTAATTACAGGGAGTTTGGAGGTTTTTAGGCCAAAGATAAATAAACAGGTCAAGTTCTCAGGTTTCAAGGGATATGCTCTGAACTCTAGACCAGCCTAAGTCAGCGGTTCTCAACCTGTGGGCCGCGACCCCTTTGGGGGTCAAGCGACCCTTTCACAGGGGTCACCTAAAACCATCGGAAAACACATATTTCTGATGGTCTTAGGAACTGAGACACCACTGCTCTATCCGTCTCCAGGCGGGTCCACCCACATACGAATACCCGGATAAAGACTGTTACCCATGCTATATCATGCTTCAAGATAAATTTCATTTATTTGTCATTAGAAATAAACATCTCACAATATATAATTACATATTGCTTTTGTGATTAAGCACTATGCTTTAATTATGTTCCATTTGTAACAATGAAAATGCCTCCTACATATCAGATATTTACATAACGATTCCTAACAGTAGCAATATTACAGTCATGCAGTAGCAATGAAAAAAATTTTATGGTTGGGGTCACCACAACATGAGGCGCTGTATTAAAGGGTCACAGTATTATAAAGGTTGAGAACCACTGTCCTAAATGTTGATATACAGTGAATTGGTTCATCCAACCTTTGCCCCTTCCTAGATTTGCAGAAAACTACACTCATCGAGTTCATTTCTACATTTCTGCCGTGAAAAATGAGCCAAGTTAGAAATTCCAAGAAGCTGTCCTGTAGACTATATCCCTCAGGCCCTTGAGAGACCCAGGATATTGACATCACTGTTCCCTTCTTCTCAGTACTGCAGATTATGCCATGTTCAAGGTGGGACCAGAAGCGGACAAGTATCGCCTGACTTATGCATACTTCATTAGTGGAGATGCTGGAGATGCCTTTGATGGCTATGATTTTGGTGATGATCCTAGCGACAAGTTCTTCACATCCCACAATGGCATGCAGTTCAGTACCTGGGACAACGACAACGATAAATTTGAGGGCAACTGTGCTGAACAGGATGGATCTGGTTGGTGGATGAACAAGTGCCATGCTGGCCACCTCAATGGGATTTATTACCAAGGTAGGACTGTCTTTTCTTGGATTTCTGTAACAATGTATGCTTTTGCAAAAAAGACAGTAAGTAGATAAAAAGAAATAATTAGTTAAGATACTAGAGTTTTACCCTACTGGTCTTTATTTGAAACCAGCCATGGGCATATAAAGCTTATATCTAAAATGAAGAGGCCCCCGTGGTGCTGTGGGAGAAAGATGAGGCTTTCTACTCCCATGAAGATTGATGTTCCCGGAAAGCCACGAGGTCAGTTCTATCCTGTCCTATCGTGTCACTGTGAGTTTTGAGTGATGCTGTTGGAGAAGTGTTTGGCTTCTGAACACAAATTCAAAACAGGAGCCATTCCGTGGGAGAAACACGAGACTGTCTGCTACCATACACACTTATAGTAGGGTCTTTATGAGTCATTTGGGCTACCCCAAAATAAGTCCCTACAAGAAACCTACCTGCTGGAAAATAACCTACCTGTGCTTTGTCATTGTGCTAGAAACTACAACTGAAAAAAAATGGCACATTGGGCTTCGGTAATAATACCTTTAGACATAGCATATAAAGTAACTGAGTGGACTAACACTACCTGGTTAGCCTGGTTCAGCTTCCCATGCGTTATGCACCAGACCCAATCAGTGAGCAGGTAAGGGTCTATCACAGCTTGAGAGAAGAACCCAGCCAGGGGATCATAGACACTTATTATAAAATAGGAGTGGTCAGTTTAAAGTTTTACATAAAGCAGACATGGTTATGAAGACTGATTTTACTTACCATCAAACAATTATGTGTGGGAGGCTGTACTGGTGCTCAGGGATAATCATAAAGTATGGTAACACATATTTTAATGAGCAACCTTTTCTTCCTAGGGAAATGTTCTAGATAGTTGTCTCCTTGACAATCCTGTCAAAGATGAAATTCTTTTGAGTTTTCATTATTTTTTTTAAATGCCAACTTCCCTTTCCATCTACAAATCCACATTCATAAGGGTCAGCAGATCTGGAACTATTCATAGGCTATTTTTTTTTTCTTGTTTATCTATATAAGATAGGCAGGATAAACAATCCCAAGGAGAAAACAATGGGAACAATGGTTCCAAGGGGACATTGGAGAAGAGAAGATGGGGGATAAAGAGGGGGGAGCCAAGAAACCCATGGACAAGGGAACAACAAGAGATCTAAAATCAATGGCCAGGAGTCGCACAGAACGCCTGGGGGGATTCAATCAAGTGCAATTCAGCTGAGAGGAAGGACTGAGAGCTGAATGAAGATTGAACATGATAGTGGGATAGGAGGAAAGTAAAAGAAAATAGAGGAAAGAACTAGGAGACAAAAGACATTAATAGTGGTATGAAAATAGGCATGTACATATGTAAATATATAAATATATAATGATAGAGATATAGGCCTATATTCATATATTTATAGGTTAAGTATTAAGATAGCATATGGACATTGTGCCTCTATGCACTCCCTCAATGCTCCCTCAATGCAAGAACACTTTGTTCTAATAACCTGGAATTCTGTGGTGCTCACCTTTCTAACACGATTGCTGAAGACAAAATGGGTGCGTAAGTTAATGTGAGGAAAGCTGATGGTGCCTGGCTATTACAAGATATAGCGTTTGGGGTCTTGAAGGTTTGAAGTTAAACAAGGGGCCATCTACCAGGGAAGCAACAAAGCCCACATGGAAGAAGCACATCAACTCTTTTGATTATGAGGTGTTGACAGGATCAGGTATCAGAAGACCCCCAAACAAACAACCACTTTGATGTGAAGAGATGTGTTGGAATGGAGACCCAAAGCCCATGTATAGACAATAGGACATCCCCTCACTGAAGGGTCACAAGGAGAGGACAAGTCAGGAGGGTGCAATATATCACTGATGAAACACACCACATTCCCCTAGTTCTTCAATGCTTTCTCCCCCTCACTATCTTGACCTCAGTTCTATCTTACAAATCTGGCTAGACCAGAGCATGTACACTGGTACAGATAAGAGCTCTCGACACACAGAATCCAGGAAAGATAACACCTCAGGACCAATAATGAGAGTGGTGATACCATTAGGGTAGGGGGAAGGTGGGGAGAAAAGGGGGAGAAAAGAGGGACCGATTGCAGTGATTGACCTACAGTATGCCCCCACCCCAGGGGGACGAACAACAGAAACATAGGTGAAGGGAGACAAAGGATGGTATAAAATATGAAAATAATAATAATTTATAAATTATAAAGGGTTCATGAAGGTGGAAGGCGATAGAAGAAGGAGGGGGGGGAAAGGAGCTGATACCAATGGCTCAAGTAGAAAAAATATTTTGAATGATGATGGCCACATATATACAAATGTGCTTGGTACAATTGATGTATACATTGTTATAAGAGCTGTAACAGCCCCCAATAAAATGATTTATATAAATAAAAATAAAATGAGACCATCTGAGTGGGAATTTTGCAGCTCATTCTGGCCTGCCTAGGAAAGGTGGTTCATAATCATTAAGCCCAGTATGGTTACATTTAAAGAAGGAGGTCAGTGATGGACCTTTGGCATTCCAGCCCTTGCTAGTGAATAAAATTAGAATATGGAAGTGATCAAGAAAGACAACACATAAAGCACTGTTTAATAGTGGATTTATTTCAACTATGAATTGAGATTGTAGGACTCTTTAGGAATAGTTTCAGTTGGTAGATAAGCAATTTAAATTGGATTTCAGTGGCAGTGGATTTCATCATAGACAATGGTTAACAAAGTTGTTGAGGTGAAGGACGTTCAAGAGCAATGATGTGTACAATGTCCTGCTTGTTTTAGGTGGCGTTTACTCCAAAGCATCTACTCCGAATGGTTATGATAATGGTATCATTTGGGCCACCTGGAAATCCCGGTGGTATTCCTTGAAGAAAACCACCATGAAGATAATCCCACTGAACAGACTCTCCATTGGAGAAGGACAGCAGCATCACCTGGGAGGAGCCAAACAGGTTGAGCACCATGCTGAAATAGAATATAGCTGAGTCACTCCACACTGCTAACTGTTTGCACAGAACAACCAGCTTGTTTCTATTGACTCACAAAGTTTTGGAAGATTTCCTGACTCCCCATCCCCATTTTTCTTATGACATTTATCATTTTAAGCCTTCCATTAAGTGTATTTAGCTGAAGTGGAAATTAGAACCCACTTTGGACTGTACATATTACCCAATCACTATAATAAGATTTCTTTTTAAATTCTTTGAGGAAGGAATACCTTGGTTAGTTTCCCAAACATATAGTAATAAAAAGCGCATGGTCATGTTTTGAAATTCAATTATTGCATTTTATTTCAGATTGGTAAGTTTTATTAGTTCTTAAATAATTTGGTATTTGCTAATAAAATAGAAGTAAATTAAAAATGTTCAAATCCTAAGTAGTCCTTCTATATTTATTGGCCCTATCTGATTATTCTTGTTGAATGGAAAGGTTATTTTTTATATTTTTCTCTTTTGGTCGTAGGCTGGAGACGTTTAAGAGACCATTTCGAGCATGATGTACTTTTTTAGAGGACTTTATCTGAACAGAGACATAGATTTCCCCCCCCCCCCATGGGACAGTGGACTTGAAAAACCTCACTTCATTTTAAAAGTAAAAAGAACCCATATTGAAAACTCCACTCACAGTTTTATGCAGAGAATCATTTTCTACATGACATTTGAATAAAGATTTTATTTCCTAAGACTAGACACAGTGTGCCTTTTATTGACCATTAAAAAGTCACTTTCTTTCATTTTAGTAATTACCATTGCACAACCACCAGGATTTCCTGAGCCCTCGCTTTATCCTAAACTTTACACCAGACGCTTGGGAAGTTGGAAAGAAAATAGGGAACAGGACTTTTGCCTTCCAGAGATGATATGACAAATGAAGATGAATTAACAATAGGCAGTCATCAAATATGATATAATAATGTAAATAAGCACTAGTGCAGTCATGTCATTAAAATGCACGGTCTCCAAGTGTGAATGCGAACAGGAAGCTATAAAGGGATTCTCCCAGCAGTACTTTTCTGGTGTCCCATACCTGCAGCTAGCTGGTAGCAAAAGGACAAAAACTCAGAGCAGAGCGCTTTGGGGGACAGCTACCTCAATCTCTGCCTGGTGAACTGTGAGATGAGCAAAAGAAGATATCTTCTTCTTTGCATTCTGATTCTGAAGGTAGTGAGTGCATTTTTGTGGGGCGAGGAGAGTCCCCCACAAATCATCACAGGTCCGGTAGGCGCAATAGTACAGCGATAATAAGTAAAGATTATAGTAAAGTCAGAGAAAGCATGAGAGGTAGAGGAGAGATTGGAATGATGGAGTCAGGCACAATTCATGGTAGCATGCTCACCTCAGCCCCGCTTGGTGGTCCTCGTGGGGGGAGCCCAGCCACGAAAGCAGGAGAGAGCCTCGGGAGAGAGAGCAGGAGAGTCCCCACTTTATTGCTAACCAAAAGTTATCTGTCATTAGGGGGACATGATTACAGGTAACCACACGTCACAGGAAGGGGCAGTACAATACGCATGCCCATCGTAGGAAGGGGATGTATGACAGGCATAAGCATAACAGGAAGGGGATGAGCTAGGGTGTGCCCATAGGAATGGGAAGGTCTAGGGGTATACATGTGACAAGATGGGCGGAACCCAGATTCATGATGGCAGCCTAACCTTGGGCATCCTTGGGTGGGTTTGACCTCTCTGGTGTCTCCTACAAGGAAACAGTCAACTACTATTCTTATCAGAAGGGAGTGAGCCCTACTTATAGTGGGATAAACAGTGGTGTCTGCTTGGTCTAGAAGGCTGATAGCTCTTAGGGAGAATAACCCCTGATCTACTTCTGATGACCTCCAAGTGTATAGTCATTTGTAAGCAGCCAAGCTTGGCATACATCTGGGGGAGACAACTGGGGAGAAATCCTTCTGCCTCCCACACATTTTCAGTAGTCTGGATTCAGGCATCACCAATTTTCGGTGAGGAATTTGTTGTTGTTAGATGCCACTGAGTCTGTACAACATAATACAACACTGCCAAGTCGTGCACCATGCTCACAACTGTCCTTATGTTTGAGCCCACTGTTGCTGTGAGGATTAGCGAAGTCCATATTAATTGGCATAAGGTGACTGTAAAGTCTGACAAATTTTATGTGGGGAGGATGCGGTTATTCTGAAATCTGGAACTTTGGATTCCTGCCCTTTCTACAACTCTTTCTTAAATTTCTCAATTCCTCGGTTTCATGATTCTTGATTTAAAAATATCCTACTGAGAAAATAAACCAATTCCTACATATAAACGCCAATATTTGAAAGACTTGGAGAAAAATGATTCATTGTTGGTGGCTTTCCTTTATTCATGGATGCCTGAGGCAATCCTTCAACCAATATTTATTGAAAACCTTCATTCTACTACCTATTGGCTGGGATGATGGGGATATAGTATCATTCTTTCAGGAGCCTTCATAGTACAATAGTTATAGTGCCCAACTGCTAACCAAAAGATTGCCAGTTCAAACCCACCAGTCACTTTGAGGGAGAAAGATGAGGCAGTCTTCTTTCTTAAAGCTTAATAGTCTTGCAAACCCTGGAAGGCAGCTGTACTCCGTCCTATAAGTTGCCATGAGTCGGAATACATTTGAAGACAGTGGCTGGGTTTCATCCCCTTTCCCCAAACTATTCTCTTCCATTCAGCCCTAAAGTTCCCCAAAATCGGTGACTCATCTTTGATTCTTTTCTATTTCTTCCTCCCTGTATCCAACTCCTTGTCAAACAAGGAAAATCTACCTTCTAAATATTCATTATACTATGTGCTCCCTGAAGAGCCCTTGTGTTGTTGTGGAGTATACTTTTTATTGTTGTTGGGTTTTTTTTCGTTCTTATGCATTAACAGTATTTTTGTCTGTATACTATTGTGTTTTTACCTTTATCATCTTAGCGCGACTTGGTTTTCTGTTGGGTCTCCCAGTTGTGAAGCACAGGAGAAGTGGATGCATAAAAATAAGAAGGGGTTACGAGGGGACATAAGGGATATATGCATGGGGTAGGGAAAGGGGATTTCAGGAGTAACTAAGGAAGACAGGGGGGGCGGGCAGTGCTAGAATGGATTGTGGTTGCCTGAATCATCTTAAAGGTTTTTTAACCATGAGGGGAATGCTCTAAAATTGATGTGGGGGTGATTGTACCATTCTCTGTTATATGATTTAATGATTCAACTATTGAATTAGATGATATGCAAATTACCAGTGAATAAAACTGCTGAAAAAAAAGGAATGAATAAATAAATAACCTAACTCACTATCATCGGGTCCAGTTACCTCACAGGACAGAGTAGACCTGCCTCATGAGTTCCCAAGATGGTTAATCTTTAAAGAAGTGGAGACCCAAAGCCCATTTGTAGGCCACTGGAGATCCCCTTGCAGTGGGGTCTCGGGGAGGAGACGAGCCAGTCAGGGTGTGATGTAGCAACAATGAAAAATACAACTTTCCCCTAGTTCCTAAATGCTTCCTCCCCGCCCCCACTATCATGATCCGAATTCTACCTTGCAAGACTGACTAGATCAGAGGATGTACACTGGTACAGATAGGAACTGGAAACACAGGGAATCCAGAGTGGACGATCCCTTCAGGACCAGTGGTGTGAGGTGGGGGATAGAGGGAGAGTGGGTTGGAAAGAGGGAACCGACTACAAGGAACTATATGTGACCTCCTCCCTGGGGGACGGACAAGAGAAAGGTGGGTGAAGGGAGATGTCAGACAGTGTAAGATATGACAAAATAATTTATAAACTATCAAGGGCTCATGAGGGAGAGGGGAGCAGTGAGGGAGGGGGGAAATGAGGACCTAATGCCGGGGGTTTAAGTGGAGAGGAAGTGTTTTGAGAATGATGAGGGCAATGAATGTACAAATGCGCTTTACACAATTGAGGTGTGTATGGATTGTGATAAGAGTTGTATGAGCCCCTAATAAAACGATTAAAAAAATCAACTGAAACCTCTGCTATTAGGTGAAAAGAAGGTCGGTGGTCCCATATAAACAGGTTGTTTTTCTTTACCACTCAAACCACAGATAAGAATTGCTCAAAACTTTCCTTTGTTTTCTAGAGCATTCAAGAAATAGAGGTGGGAGAATGAAGTACAAAGGGAAGAGTCTCTGGATGGCACAAGCAGGTAAGCACTGGGCTGCTCACCAGGTTGACAGTTTAAACACACCAGGCACCTCTGAAGAAAAGCCTGTTGACATACTTCTGAAAACACAGACACTGTCTGTCCACCTCTGACTCACCCGGGGCCTCTCGGAGTTGGACTTGACAATGCCCAGTAAGTATGAAGTGTGTAAATTCATACACTTCCTAAAACCCACAGAGAGTAACTGTTCATTATAAACTAAGCAGGATCCCAGATGAAGTAACACCATGATTTCAGGTCATAAGCCTACTTTAACTCCTTACAATCCAAAGTCCTTCAATCAGTAGATGGAGTTTTTGCTTATTAGACAAATTTCAAGATTTTTAGCTATGCCTCTGAAGTATTAAAGATTTTACGTCTTAACATTTAGTGATTATTCTTTAAAGGCGTCTGTTTTAGATTGTGTGTGGATTGAGAGTGAGTGGGCAATGAGGAACAGTACCTATAGACAAGATGTCCAAGAACAACTAGAATGTTGGGGTTCTGACTCTAACCAGTATTTGTTAGTAGCATAATATATATGTTGGTTTGCTGAGATAGGGTGAAAAATGAAGAATGTATTTAACTGAGGGAAAACTATGTCTATCTGATGACTATCTGTTTGATGTGGATTGAGAAAAATGTTAAAGATTGTTAGATGAGTTGAAAGTAGATGGAAAATAGATTAGTGAAGAAACTGGGCTTTGGGGTGAAGGCGAATGATTTTGCTTCCTCTCCCTCTTTGTTCTGTGTGTGTCTCTCAGGGAATCAAGATGAATTTCATCTTATTTTTAGTTTTTATTGATTATTTTTTATCCATGTTGGGTTACTCTTTTGACTCTTTGGTGAGTTGCTTGATTGATTCTCTTATTCAAATGACACAATCTCTACTTCCTTCCTTCAGTAGGGAACCATTCTAATAGGTTTCCTATGCTCCTTTGTAGGCTTTATTATTCACCGCTTGCTGTTTGTGTGTATATGATATATTTATAATCACAATATACTATAAATAAACCTGTGTTATTTGGAATCTGATTCTCAAACTCTTTATTACCAGCCTGTGCTAAGTAAAAAGTTGAGAGAATTCCCATTTAGAATTTTTTTAGTTATATTTTTACGGTTATATTTACTAGATACA